GGGGGGGGGGCCCTCCCCAGGCTGGCCGGCCGCCCGTCCCCTCTTCAACAGCCCCCCTCTTCTCCCCGTCTTCGCGTGCCTGCGTCTGTCTGTCAGTCTGTCTGTCTCTTCAGCCCGGGTCAGCCCCTTGCTTTCCCGGCCTCTGGGGAGTCCGTCTTCCAGCCGCACCTCTCTTCCTGAGTCCCTCTCCCTCGCCCTGTCGGGTCGTTCTGTCTGTCCTCCAGGGCGCCTGTGCGACCCCGTCCCTTGCTTTGTCCGTCTGGTTCTAAGGCATCGGTCTCTCCTCCCGTCCTCCCCAATCTCTCGCTCCCGGGACCCCCTGTTCCGCTCTGGGCTCCTCCCCTCCTTATCGCCAATCCAAGGAAGGCGGGAGGGGGGAAACTGGGTCGTTGCAAAGGTGGAGCCGCCCCCAGGAGAAGGGGCAGGACTCGGGTGGGGGGTGGAGTGGGGGGAAGCAGGTTAGGGCCTGTGGGGAGTCACAGGGTGGGGAGAATGCGTGGAGGAGAGGGGGGAGAAATTAACCTTTTGCAGGCACCCCAACCCCCAAGGCTCTTGGGTGGGGGGTGGGGGTGCTGTGTTTCCCTGCTGACCCTTCTCAGGCCTCTCTCTCCCAGTCGCTCCGCCCCCACCCCACCCCCAGGTCTCCTGATGCCACAGGTTCGAATCCTGCTGCGACTTACTTGCTGTGTGACCTCCACCCAGGGACTTCGGGTCTCTGAACCACCTGGCTTTCCTCATCTGCCAACTGCAGCCCCAGCCTCAGGCCCAGCCCCCCGATCCCCTACTCCTTTCTCCCCAGCTGGTTTGGTTCCTCCTGCTCCGTCTTGCCTTCCTCTGCCCTCTGTCAGGTGTGGATCACGGCGGGCAGCAGGCCCAGGCTCTCCTGGCAGCCCGCCCTGGCTCTTCCTCTTCCGAGCAGCGTGACTGGGCCAAAGGGATTCCGCCCACACGAGGCTCAGTTTCCTCGCCCGGGAAATGGGCGTGCAGTGGGGCTGGTCATGGAGGGTTGGGGACAAGGCCTCTAGAAGGTTCCTCGTGGAAAGAACCGGTGTTTGTGTGCCTAGCACCTCGATTGTCTCCCAGCCCCAGTCTCTGGATTCCACTCGACGGGGCTGGCCTCACTGGGATCTTCAAACCAGCCCACCTGCCCGCATGGAATCCAATGTAGGTGTACCTGCCAAACCCACTGTGGCTGAGTAGAGTAGACTCCTAGCGACCTTGCAGGACAGAGTAGAACCAGCACACACACACACACACACACACACACCACTTGGTCTGTAGGTCTTTGGCAGAAGCCATGGGGCGCATGTGTCTCCTCCCCAGGAGCTGTTGGTGGTGGCTGCTAAATGCTTTCACCGCAGCGCCACCACGGCTGCCCTGCTCAGCTACGGAAGGGTCGGTTTGCAGTTGGTTGGCTGAGAGAATGTCACGTTTCCCGCACAGTGGTTGCGAATACTGTTTCCCTTCCTGTTTTTTTGTTTGGAATCAATCTTTCTAACCCCCTTCTTGTAAGTCCCATGGGGCTGATGAACGCTGGGCCCTGTTCCTGTCAAGTGGAGGTGGGGAGCGGAGGGACAGTTCTTGATGTGAATGTCCTGAGCAACTTTTTTGGTCTTTTACTCCAGCCTCACCCCCCCCCCCCCCACCCCCACCCCACCCCGGCCCTAGGTGG